TTTTACATACTATGATTTCTCTATAATTATTCCGCGTATAATTTATAGAAGAATTCATATATTTCTCTATTTAAAAAATGAAGTTGATTTGAAATGTTCTTAACGCTTCAACTCGTAAAATAATTGTTTCCATTATATTATGTAATATCCCCTCCTTTGTACTGAACACGTTCAAACAAACTACTTTTTTATATATATCTTCAAATTTCACTTTTAATTAAATCGATCACTTTATACAAATCACTTTTATATGTATATATGTATATATGTGTGTATATATGTATATATATATAATATATGTTTATAGTTATATTCAGTATATATATATATATAGTTTATTTACTTGCATTTCAATTTATTTCATTTCAAAGTTGGATTAATAAATTCTCTAATCTTGAAATTTTGAACATAAATATCTGGAAAATCTGGGAATTTTCAGGAAATTTTTTTAAAAATTTTAATAAACATTCTGATTTTTTTAATAGCTTATCTTCGTTACCTGAAAAATAAAAATTAACTGATACTATCTGGTAATTATTATTAAAATATAAAATTTATACAGACAGGAAAAATAAATTGAGACATTTCCGATTTTTTCTGCTCTTGTTAAAAAGTATTATACGATATAAATATATTGTAGACAAAGTCATGTGGAGTATGTAAACTAACATATGTGATGCCATTATTCGCTATTTCTGTCAGATGGCTGTATGTGAGTTATATCTGATCGAGGTCGCAATTTACGTATACACAGGGTGCATAGAATTAGAACGGAGGGCGTACACCCCTGATATTAAAATTCATTTTTTTTTTCAAACAAATTGGCAAACCTTCAAAGTATAACTGGATTGTTGTATTTTTTCGGAGCACTCAACAGTAATAGTATTTTTCACGCAGCTTTAAAAAGTTCCCTTCATCCTAAATATTTCAAAATCTTGAAATCTTTATTTAATATTTTTATTTATATATAAAGTATTTGTATATTCGCGTCTTAATTAATAGATAAATGTTATGTGAATTATGTATGTCCATAAATTTTAATTTTTATATAGTTACTGTTATTGTACACACTATCCAAATAATATACGTTATAATATTATATTACATTCTGAAGGGTTACTAACATCTCTCTCTCTCTCTCTCTCTCTCTCTCTCTCTTTCTGAAATAAATTATATTTATTATACGTACGCACTCACGTGTGAACATTTACTATTAATGCTTTTGATAAAACAAATAGTATATATTAAAAAAATTTAATATAAGACGAAATTATTAAACGGATAATGTAACAATACTAATAACCAAGTAATTTAGAAAGAATAAACGAATTTTTTATTTACTGAGGATGATATTGACAATGAATATTCGCGTGTGCATGTTAGAATCAACAATGTTTTCAGGGGTTGTCAGGTTTGAGTAACTTGAATCTTGTAAAACTTCGATCCAGGTGCACGGGATTAATTGCGGGCGCACCTATGGCATGACTCATTCTGGAGGAGTTCTTGGTTTCTTTTTTCATCTTTTATACAAGGGATGTGTGGAATATTACGTGTATAATTCCTCTTCCTGTTTATTGACTTATATTTTAAATCTGCAAGAACTTCTCAAGAAGAGATCTTTTTAGATCGATCTTTTAATCAATTCGAGAAACGAATAAATGCCGCTTTTATTTGTAATTAATTAATTAAAATTAATAATTAATATAAAACTAAATAATTAATGTAAAACTTCATAAAAAATTCCCTAAATTAAACGAGTTATTGAATCTTCGAACATTGGAAGTTGATATTCGATCATTAATTTCTAATTTGAACCTCGAGCGTTTTTATACTTTGGAATGTTCAAACATAAACTGTTAAACGGTATGTTCGAATCTTTTATTCGAATTTTATTAGAAGAAAACTACAATAAAGAACTCTGCAGTAATTATGAAAAATTTAGTCTTAGTGAAATGAGTCATCAGTTTTCATATATAGCTTATAACGCAGTGCAATGAAAAGATATTCAAGATATAAGGCTTAATAATAGATATAAGACCTAATAATAGTTTTTAATTGGTGTATTAAAGATGTGAAACATTTTGTATTCACAGAGCATATCACTATTCAAAAACTATTATTTCTGTCTATGATAATTTTTGTTCTCATCATGTTATAAAAACATTATTACATGTATTATATAGAAACTAACTCAGGAATTTTCTATATGATTAATAAAGTGCGGGATTCTTTATTGTTTATTTGACAAAACTTTGTATACTTTTTGATTTTTTTTACTTGTATTCACATATTTTCTTCGACTTAGTGTCACAAAATTTTCCATTATTTGGAAAGTAGCTTAATAGTTAACATGGATAGATTTATATGAAAATTTATATGAAAATATAAAATGAAATAAAATGAGTGTTAGGTTTGGTATGCGCGGGCAGATCCACCCCTCTTCCTAGATCGTCATGCTTGTAAATCGGGCTGCCTCTCCACAGTAAATATTACGCCAAAGATGATTTCTTATTTCTCTCTTTTCATTTTTGTCCATCCAACGTGGTAACAGGCAATCACACGCAGATATTTTTTAATATATCAAGTCGGATAAAATAATTAGTATTATCGGAATAAAATTAAATCTTTAATCAGTTTCATACATAACGATACATAAAAATTAAAATCTTTATATAAATAAAATTAAATTTAAAATTAAAAGTGGCTGATCTTGTATTTAATCGTTTTGTATTTGATAATGACTATTTCACTGTGTCAAGTCTGCAGTGGAATGCAATCATTTGTTTCTCTAGGTCGTGAATAATCTTTGATAGAAATATGTAAGATCTTTTTGTAAATTCAATTTCATTGATCAAATTACACTGAAAGAAATGTATTAAATTTAAATTATTTGTTTGAATAGTATCGATTAAATTTGTATTTACTAAATACAAAGATATTGTAATTTGATAACGAAAACCATTAATTTGCCTTAACTATCATTTTCTTATTGAGTAAATATTTATTTACTGTAAGTAAATTGTAGTTGATACTATGTTCAAATAAATATTTATTAAAATTTAGTGTTTCCTTCTCAGTGTAATTACCTTCAAATTTATTATAAATGATGGTTAATTATTTAATAAAAAGAGAACGTATTATTTTATCCATTTAATATTATATTTTCTTTATCTAACATTATTTTTTGCCTACTTTCTAACATTATTTATATTATTATTATAAAATGTGATTCAATGCAAATTCGTTAAAGGTAACGATTAAGGATAACGAAATTGGAATACTTTATTTCAGAGTTGTCATTAATTGGACATTTAGGCGAGAATGCGCACCCCTGCTGAAACTGAGACCCTGGCCCAACCCGAAATGTATAACCTGGAAACTGAGGAAACAGAAACGTCCGCGGACGTCAACAGAGTGGTCTTATCATCTCCCCATCCAGAGACTCATATATTTACTAACAGGTAATTTTAGGTCATCATTACTGTTCATTCTCGATAAGATTACATTGTGCTGTAAAAACACAATGATTTAGTAATATAATTTAGAAATAATATGAAAAATTAAACAAAAAACAAGAATTGAAAAACAAAAGAAAGGTAGGTAGTGAGTGACTGAATGAGTGAAAGTGAGAGAGAAAGGGGGGGGGGGGGGTTGAAGGGTGCTCTTTTGGTCATTTCATAGCAATTTATTTATGGACGTAATCGAGAATATTTCACAAAAGAGAAAATTTTTCAAATAACATTCTATACATTTATATTTCTAGAAATTTGCATTAAATTTATCATCAGATATTATATTATCAAATATTTTATATAAATGCAATATTTAAATAATGATTCATTTAGTAATGATTATAGAAGTTAAAATTTAGGTTTTTACCTATCAGTAGTACCTATCGATTGTTTAATCATTGCATTCTTATGTTAGAAGTAAAACTTTTATCTTCATCGTTCCTTTGTTTCTCTCTTCCCCGTACAGATTCAAAATATGTTGTGTGAAGAAAATAACAATTATTTATTACTTAACACCTATTTGATTCTATTATCAGTTTTATTTCATCAATAATTATTATACTATTTAATATTTGATACGAAGATATTTCAACGTTGACAATTAACATCTCATATCAACGTCTCATATCGGTCAAACATTAATCAGCATTAGCCATGTTTCCATGTTCTTGCATCATACATGATTTTTTTACATTTTTATTAAAAGAAATTAATTAAAGTAAAAGAAATGTTACAACTGTTATCGGTATACAAAGGATAAGAATGTTAATAGATATCTTTTACTATGCATTTGTGAATTCGAAATAGCGCGCGTCGCATGCGTCGTGAGCGAGCGCTGTTAATAGCATGTGGCGAACAGATAAGGTGAGAGAGAGAGAGAGAGAGAGAGGGAGAGAGATAAATAAAGAGGCGAGACAAAAGTGGCTTTCTTGGTCCTCTCCTCTTGCTCCTCTCCACAGTCTCTACGATCTCCACTGTTCCATACGTTCGTCAGTAAGTGGGATACATTTCATACGTGCGTGCGTGCGTGCGTGTCTCTCGCGGATCCGAAACGATCGGTGGTCGATAGCGTGACGTGACGTGACGACGACTCGTTTCTCATCGGCCACATTGCCGTTCGCGGTGAAGTAGTGCTCCCGTTGCACGTCCATATGCTGTACGCAACGGAATGGTCCTCGCGCGATTCTTCCTCAAGAAGCCAGCGACGCAGAACGACAACGCTGCCGCCGGCGACACCTCCGCCGTCGCCGTTGCGGTAGTATCTGGCGATGTGACCAGCGCTGCGACGAAGAGGTGAGACCGAGACGAATCCCACGGAAGAGTCGCTCCGGGTCTTTGTAACGCGATAACGTATTCTGCGAAAGTTGTCCGGATCTTTGGAATGCGCTTGCGATAGTGACTCCGAGTACTTATCAACAATACTGAGTACTTATGCGTCTTCTCTTGCGGCCGATACGACGCGGCGTTACTCATTATCGGCTGTTCGTAGAGACGAACTGGACATTCCGCACCGACCTGCATTAGCGTCGTCGTTGTACTTCACTTACTGACGTCGCTCCTGCTGAGAGATACTGTTACAAATGATAAAATGTCGTTAAAGGGACGTTAAGGAAGATAATAAAACTTTTCTGTATCTGTTCCAAAATACATCGACTGGTATGTCGATAGTCTCGCCGTTGTAAATCTTAAGTAGTATGCCATTCTAAATTTGTCATGTTCTTCGCATAATTCTTACGAAAATAATAAGAATATTTCAGTAGAAGCGATGTGTTTACTTTCTCGTGCATCTTACAAGAGTCACAAGAGAACCTTGCAAAGTGTCAAGTTCTGATTTTAATGAAACCGTATACTTATAGCTTATATAAATAGATGAAAATTAAAAAAATAGCAATAGCGGCAAATAAATGGTTTTAAGGGGTGAAATCATTTCTTATTTATATATAAAGCAATTTTCAGCTCTTTTCATTGTATTTTAAAAACAATTCGAGATATTAAAAAAATGTTCTATGTGAAAAATCGTATGTGTGTTTATGTTGTAATTATTATTCTTATTTCTATTTATTTACGTTCAATAACTTTTTTTAAAAAATAATTTTGAAAATATAAATTTTGAAAAATTATTTTTTTTATTATTAACGTAGAAGAAATAGACATAATTTTGTTATAAAACTTTTGTATTAAACATTTTCGATATCTCAAATAATTTTTGAGATATAACGAAAAAAGTTGGAAACTGCTTTAGGTAATTTCACCTTTTATGTTTACTTGCCTCTACTGCTGTTTTCGAAATTCATTTATTTATATAAGAGTTACAAGTATACAAAGTTTCATTAAAATTAGAATTTGACATTTCGCGAAATTTTCTGCTCAGTGCTTCCACGTTCTCCTGATTCGAGACACGAAATTTTAGACTAGTATGTTGCGTTGTTACTACATGAATGTCAAAAGAATAGATATTGTATATCAGGAGGTATTGTCATCAGGCATTTGTAAAAAAGAAATTCACGCCTTTTGAATGTGCATCGCAGATATATCGATGGTTATCTGAAATATTCCAGCGCAGTAAAGTAAACAATAAATATTCGGATGTTTTATCTTTCATAAAAATTGATGCATGTTTCGTCAACTTTCTATAACGTCTTAATTATTTTCCGTAGAGTTATAATTATATAGATGCATTGCTTGCGCAACAACCAACATTATATATATATATATATATAAAAGATTCAAGTGTCTTAAAAATACAAATTTCGCTTTTCGTATCGTCGAACCATACGGTGAACTTGCAATTTTTGCAGAACAAAAAAAATGACGCAGAAAAGTACTCCATCTTTTCAGAAACTGAATTTTAAAACACATTTGACATTTCAAATATATTATATTTTGTCGTTTTTCACACAAAATTGTGAAAAATTTACACATCCTGAATATATAGATACATTGCTATAAACAATTAGAATTATATACATCTCTCAAATATATTATAATGCAAATTTAAATATATTTTTCGGATGTATTGCATTGGCAGATCCAGAAATTTGTCAGGAGGAAGTTAGGCCATTGATACCTTGCAAGCAAAATTTTTTTGAAGATCAAATATGAGAGAGAGAGAGAGAGAGAGAGAGAGAAAATAGAAGATTAAATTATTATTTATTATTATATTGAAAAAGTATTATTTAAATGTATAATTCATAAAACATTTCATTTTAAATTATATTAACATAAAAAAATAATATAATGAAATTTGTGTTTTTCATATCTAAGAATTGCTTAAATTAAATAATATTTTTGGAATATCAAAATTGTGATTAAATAGAAATATTAGTAACATTTACAACATTTTGCTATATTTTTAAAAAAAGAGGACTTCAAGGAAGTAGTCAACAATCTATATGAAACGTATGCAATTAAGAATAATTAAAGGAATACAAAAGAAACAATTATACATGTATGTATAGACAGCGTTATCATACGACGTGCTCAATTGACGATCGCTTACTATATACATTAGATGTGGAATAACACGGGAAATAATATATTGAAATTAACTCGTTAAATAAGTAACAATAAAATACAAGATAAAATTGAAAAAGAAAGACAAGAGTTATATGACGTAATATAACTAATGCTAGATAATGTAAAGAATTTATCAGTCCGCCGTTAGTCTGTGTATTTGTTTACGGCGATCAGCACGCTTCTCATTGAGTGACGCCAGCAGACAGCTGATACGAAGGCCACGGTAAATGTGCATGCACATACTATGCACATTTGTTCGATTCGCTCGTTTTGCAGCGTATTGGTTCTTGCATGTACCTACATACATTTACGCTCAGCTTCTTACGTAGGTATTCGCGAGAGGAGAACGATAAGAGAAGGCTATGCCGAAGACAATCGTTTATCTCAAAGTCGCGGCGATCGCCGCAATCCTCTGTCAAGGGCAGTGTCGCTCGTGTTTCCAAGGCCACTCTCACTCCGACAGCGTTACTATTCAGTCATTTTAAATCACTTCATATCACTTTTTTTTCTGAGTTGACTTGAAATTTGTAAACTATAAGTAATTTCTATTTATATTTTGTTATCTCGTCTAATAATAATTACTCTCTTATTGTTGCTCACTACATCAGCATCAGTTTAGTATGGTTTGATGAACGTTCGTGTGATTTCTCGTGTCACGCGCAAAGCATCGCTGAGTGCGAGTGAGATAATATTTCACAAGGAGACTCAACGCCTGTCAGTCGCATTCGATCTGTCCGAATTGACGATCTCGATTGGCATACAATCTCATTCTCACGCAGCTGTACTCAAGTTCTCAATCCCATAAAAGCATAAACATTCGGACTTTACTTTGCATCTCGCGTACTGAATGCCAGACAAACGACGTGATTTTCCGACGTGAGATAGAAAAAAAACAAAACTTAACTTTTGCGAAAACTTTTATTGTTCGATATTTAAAAAATTGTTTTTAATTTAATTTTAAAATATTAAATTGATTTGTAATTGCCAAATAAAAAAATTATTTTAATATGCAATTTTAATTTTAAAATCATAGACTACAAAAACAAGACTACAAAATATTAGATCGTACAAACTTTCAGAAATCAATTTGTATTCAATTTACATTCTTTGCTGGATAATTATTTTTAAAATGAATCGTTTTTTCAACTTAACTATTCAATGGCTCTTTTCGTTTGAAATTCATGCTATGAAAAAAAATTTACTATATGTTAAATTATTCAAAACAGGAAAATAAGAATAACTGTTTTTATTTGCTCAACTAGTTTAAATTATTTTAAAAATTTGTTAAAAATTGTCGTTTTTTAATAGTATTTCAATATTTGAAAGGTTTTTGTTATCCTTTTTTTCTTAAAAAACAGTAACTATTTCATTTCTTTTAATTTGCTGACTGGATGACGGCGCTGTACTCCCTGAATTCACTTTCGTACGAATTCACTTTCGGGCGTATTAAAAATGAAATATATTAATATTAACGTGACAATTTATTTTTCATAAAAATAACAATTTGAGCTCAAACTCTTTATCTTTAATTGCTAATTTATCGTTCAAAGATACATTAACTTCAATTTATTTTTTATTAAGGAATAGAGAATTATCTTAAAAATCAAACTTCTATCAATGTTAAAAATATATCTCTTATCTGAAATATTTTAATATCTGAATATAATTGGCCGAAACGAATTTTTTTTTTTCAGAGTTAGGATATTATTTTAATATCATTATCGTTACAATTACTTTTTTTTTTAATAACTGGGTAACAACGACTTTATATTATCTTATTTGTAACGTTAATGATAAGCAGTTACTTTTTTTGGATAACGATAATGAATATAATCATTACTTTGTATATATACAATAAATATGGAACGTGCATTAACGAGTTTCAAAAAAAGAAAGAGTTATGTTTGAAACTATTGCAATTAATCACAATTATTTTACTATAAATTGTGCTGAATTAGTCAATGATCAAGATTATTGTCACTCTAAAAAAGGAGTCATCAAAATTTGGTAAAAAAATAACAAAAATTATACAATTCGTTATTTTTTGTAACGATAATGATAACAAATATTACTTGTTAAAATCACAAGTAACAGTAATGAATTACTTTTTATAAAAAAAGATAACAAAAGAAGTTACTTTTATAAAATATAAATTTTCTCAATCCTGATTTTTTTGCTCTCAATTTTATATCTCCTTTCAATTTTTCTTTTTAGTTTCGATACATGTTCGCTAGGAGCTTACGATTAGAAGATCAAAATTTTTTATCGTCAGACTTTTAGCAGTAATTAACATATCTAATGAATACAACTGACATTCTACGATATATAGCGATAATATGTATAACAAGCAACACTGTCATCGTTTGAGCACGCGTGATAACGTTGGCGTGAAAATATAGCCAGTCTATATATCAGAACTGTTTTGATATTTTTCAATGCGATCGACGGCTACTTCTATTATAGAGTCGGGGACTTACATATACATATCTAAATTTGAGTAAAATTATGTACTTTGGATGTTTTCCGTGCGCGCGCATATCGGTTATCAACAAAATCAACAGCTGATAATCAGTTTAAATACAACATTCCGGGTTGTTTATGTAGTTCTCTTTGCGCGCGTATGAAATTCCTGCTTTTTATTTTAGATATCGTTTCACACATTGTATGTTAAAAGAAATTATTGTAAAATCTCAGTGAAATTTTGAAAAGTTAGCTTTATATTGTACATCAAAAAGAAAGTGATAAGATGAAAAATTTCCTTCTTTTGCTGTTTTTCTGTTTTTAAATTTTAGATTATTTCTAAATAATCAATATATTTTTTAGATAAAATTTTATTTAAACTCTCTTGTGTTTAAGAAAATGTAATCTTAGATAGCAAAGAATGCGTTTCTCTTAGTTTTATTTAATTACAAAAGCAAAGTTTTATCATTGAATTGTCTTAGCCTTAAGTTAACTATTAACGATTTTCCATTATATTGAAGTAATTCAAAACTAACAAATGTTTGTTACATATTTTATCGTTTCGTAATATTTTAATGTATGTAAAAAAGAAATTAAGAAAGAAGGAATTCATAATATGACCAACATCCGAATATACGTTTGTCGTATGCATTACTATAAATAACATTATTCAATCTGATACAGATAAAGATACATATATACTTTATATAAATAAATCTATATATTTGTATTTCTATAATACATAAATATTGTATATTCTTTGGACAAAGAATGAAGTAAATATTATTATTGAAAAATTGTTAAAACTTTTATTGTTTCGTGTGTCTACTTGATAGATATTTGAAAAAAGACGAAAATTTGAAGGGATCTGTCTATGAGATATTAAAGAACTTAATAGAGCATGACATACTATCAGTCGAGAATTAAATTTAGAAACATATATCTATAGGTACATGTGTAATGCAGTTGCGACGTAAAGAGTGCGATCGATATCCGCGTTGCATTCTACATTGTTGCATTCCGCTCAAAGGTTTTAGCTACACTGAGAGAAATGATTTTGTTATAGGAACAAATTAAAGGAAAGCAAATGTGATATTTGTTAAAAAATCGATCGATTTGTTACGATTGTAAATTAATTTGTTGATGTAACAATCAATAGTATCGCTAACAAATAAGAAGCTCATATATATATAAATATAAAAGTTGACGATTGCAGGATCCCAAATCATAAGAAATTAAGCAATTCTAGTCAAATCTCCCTACATTTGACTGTACACATTTAAACGAGCCTAAAGTCTATCCAAAAGATAGGTTAAATTCTATATACTTTGCTTCTGTTACTAATAATTGGTTGATATAGCAGACTAGCAGCAAACACAACAACAAAATTTGTTGTGACATATTTACCGATCAAGGTAAAGGTACTGATGGCTTGCTAAATTAACAAAATCCTTCCTCTCAGTGTACGGTTTGTAATGAATATAACATCCGATAACGTTGTTGGTGTACTATGCCGGTAAAATATTAATCTCTGCATTAGACATGAAAAATTACATCGTAGATATCAGTCAAAATAACAATGGACATGACTCTATAATCTCCAAGAATGCGATATCAATGCATATAAGATATTCAATAAGTTCAATCCCAAGAAATTCTTTAACAAATTTATTCTTAATTGTTTCTCGTAGGAAAAATTTTTGAGGAAAATTATTTTTGCATATATACGCAATGACTAACATATTTTTTATACGCAGCATCTAGATATATTATAATTAAATTTTAGAAAAATAAGATTTAATTGAATTTAAATAAAAGCTAGCTATTATTGACAAAAAAATTGGATACAAAGCTATGTTCCGTTCGATTATTTTCTTTATCTTTGAAATTATATATAAAAATAATAATTAAAAAATTTATTCTTCGCAAAATGTTTTTATCTTCAATTAAAAAACTGTACCATCAAGAAGCTCTTAGTATTAATATCTCAGTAAGAGAAAAAAAAACAATCAGTCGAAGGATCTGTTATAAAAAACATTATTAATCTGTCGAGGGATACTGACACATATGTGTACGTTTAGTTTTACCTAATGTTTGACTGTTTAGCGAAGTATTATTGGAAGCAAATATTCCTTAGAGAATAGTAAAAATAACAAAAAATTAAATAGCAAATATTCTAATTTTATATTTGTAATATTCGTTATATTTTAAATAAATACATTTGAAACATCAAATAAAATAATTTTTTCTGATTTTCGAAAATTCTCTCAAAAGATTAATTAAATATTTTCCTTTCCTGAAACTCAAAATATTTCTAAATACATAGGTATTGATGTCCAATTTGGAATAATGAAAGCTTTCTCATATTTGTGAGATGAGCGTATTCATCAAGAGAAAGAAAAATGTAGATAAATATGTTCATCACTTAAGTATGTTAGCTGTGAAAAGTCGTTGACACAAACGCAAACCTTTTGCCATGTGTAGCCTTGAAAAGACGTCTGCAAACGAAGTAATACAATTGTTATCTGTATAATATCATCTTTTGACGGTCCTTGAAATACAAAGACAAAACAGATAAAGTGAATTTTCGAAGAAAAGAGGAACTATACTAAGAGGAACAATAAGAATTAACATAAAGAGAAATAAAATTGTACTCTTTGTCTGTCAAATATTTAATTTGTTAGAATAAATTTTAAAATTTATAAAAGTTTTATCGAAGTGATATCTCATGTCTCACTTTGATCATTATGTTTAAAAATAAATTACTATGAATTTAGTCATACGAATTATTACTAGTATACTTGTTATCGCAGATAACTAAATAGTTAATAACTGATGCGAAATGCCAGGATTCCGGCAATAATATTCGATATCTTTAATTGTATCGATATCGCGTGTGCTATTTGATAAAAATAAATAATAATGTAATAATTTAATGATATCAATTAAATATGGTTGCTATATTCAACAACGCATTGAATATTAACAGTGATGGATTTTGAGACTTATAAATGCAATTTAATTTGGCATTTTGAGACTTATATATATAGATAGTCTAATTCTCTAAATACTCAGATCTTAGTCTGCAGATAATCGAAAATCCATTACTGAATATTGGCTTGAATAAGATCATTCGGTGATTGATATCACTGGCGTGCAATATGTATATATGTCGTTTCTTATCGTTCATCGGTCCGCATAAAGATAAATTTTCGATTTCTCTTTTTGTGAATGATTCTTAATGCAACTTACATCAATCTCTCGCTCTCTTGAGTCAATTATTTTCTCATTTGTGACAAAAAAACAACGGTAAAAAAGATACAGAAATTTCTTTTATTATATTACACTGCATGATATAAAAGTTATTCTGTAAAAAAAAAAATTGATAAAATAAATAAAAAGATAAATAAATCCAAAATTATAAGAATAAGAAAGGAAAAGAAAAGAATTTTTATTGTAATGACACAATGTTTATTAATACAATATGTATTTCTAATAGAAGAGAAATTCTTAAGAAATATATAATATATATATATTATTTAGAACCGTTTATCATAAATTGAATAATCGTAATTTGTAAACGTAATTTCTAATATATCTTGAATGATATTTTTCTATTTATAATGAATGGTTACATTAATAATCAAACATTATTTCATAAATCTTTTTTGTTTGATAAAACATGTTAATAATATATAATTTTTTATATTGAAATAAATATAATATGTAGTAGATAATATACCTATGTTGTTACAAATATTTACAGTGGATAATTCTATTCATTTCTGAATATTCAAAGAACGTGTACTGAGAAACAAAACATATGTGAAAATGGAAATTAATTTCGTAATTAATTTTGCCTATTTCGATTGTTTGAATTGTGAATTCCAATTACTTGTTTGGGAACATATGTATGCATTCCTTATGCATAATACATTAGAATTTTATTATCGGTTAATTTAAATCTTTTACCTTCGATTTAGACTTTATTTCGAATATTAGCGTAATGTATTGTGATAAATGTGCATTACAATAACGTACACAATAATAATTTGCGTCAGGCATTATCAGAAATATGTAATATACATAAAATTTCAGCATGCTATGCATCCAAGAGGAGCTGGCTCAGCTGAGTGAAATCGCAGGAAGTCCTGAACGGCTAATCACCGAACTGCGTGAGGTTCAATTGCCCAATAATAATCACCTCAATTTCGCGAGTAACTCCAATGACGCCGCGACAAAATGCGCTCCCGAAACGGAAAGCATCGATTCTCAACGATCGAGTTGGGTTGAAGGCATCCTGGGATGCATGCGTCCCGTTTGGACTATGCTATCGAAGGCTGCTATTAATGAAAAAATCAAGGGTCTTTCAAGTAAGTTATGTAAGTTTCAATGTGGCTTTTTTATCTATTATTTTTTCTCTTCTTTTTAAATTAGTTGCAGTGGGCCGAAAATCTTAAATATTTTGTATAAAACTTTATATTTTACGTGCAGTAGAAATTAATGGCTAAGTATTATTCTTATAATCATTATTCTTAATAGAGTTTTATGACCATTCTAAAAACCATTCGAAGCAACAATAGATTAAATCTATAATCTGCAAGATTAGTTTTAAATTTAACTTTGTATTTAAAATAAAATTTATAAATTATATGATTTTTTGCTTTAAATGTTTATAATAATTGTAATTTTGAAAAGATTTTTGTAAATTACATTTAGAAAAATTTGTACGAACTTTTTTTAGCAGACGATTGGGAGATAGCTTTCGAAACAATCAGTGAGCTGCAATGGCTCGGATCTGGGGCTCAAGGTGCAGTATTTAGTGGTAAATTAAATAAGGAAATAGTAGCTGTTAAAAAAGTAAAGGAACCGAAAGAGACTGACATACGCCATTTGCGGAAACTCAATCACCCGAATATTGTACATTTCAAGTAAGGCTCACTTTCTTTTATAATATTAAGATATAAGTCGAATTATAAAATGTTTACTATTAAATGCTCACCTGATGTTTACAGAGGAGTGTGTACAAAACCTCCTTGCTATTGCATAATAATGGAGTTTTGTCCATTCGGACCATTATATGACCTTCTAAGAGCTGGAGAACCGGTTCCTCCTGCTAGATTGGTGTCATGGTCAAAACAAATTGCTGCAGGAATGGCGTACCTTCATGCTCACAAAATTATACACAGAGATCTCAAAAGTCCAAAGTAAGTAAACAATAAAATGAATATAATTGAAATTTTTTGAAAAAATATGGTTATTAACATTTTCACTAAAAAAAGAAAAAAATTTATTCCATATTTTATTAGCTACCAGTAAATCAGAATGGATTAAAATGAAATGAAATTTTATTTATGTATTCTGAATGCATATTTAAATAAGAAAATCTTTCTTTTGAATTCAATTGAATTTAATTGGAATCAATTAGATTGAAAAACTGCATTTTCTATTCCTAATTTTCCGATTCCTAATTTTGAATCGAGAAGTATTCACGAGGCATAGAAAAGGCTGATATTATTTTTAGATTGAATAGCATAGAAATGTGTTTTATGTAATTCTTAGAAATAAATAAAAATGCATTTGAATTAAAAAAAATTTATTTTAACATTCGCTTTAATGCGTAGATATTTTAATCTATTCTCATTCATTAGCTAATTCATAAATACATAGTATGATATCTATATATGAGACCAAAATTAGAGATATAGATTGATATAAATTGAATTGATGACAATCTTTTGTAGATAAAGTATATTCAAAATCTATAATTGTAAAATAATGAGAAAATTATCGTATTTATAGTGTTCTAATAGGACAAGGGGAAATAGTGAAGATCAGTGATTTCGGCACGAGTAGACAATGGAATGAGATTAGCACAAAAATGACTTTTGCTGGTACGGTGGCGTGGATGGCGCCGGAGGTAATCAGGAACGAACCATGCTCAGAAAAAGTAGACATATGGTCGTACGGCGTCGTACTATGGGAATTACTGAGCGGCGAAATACCTTACAAAGATGTGGATTCCTCCGCTGTAATGTGGGGAGTGGGCAGCAATTCTCTTCATTTACCAATTCCCACCAGTTGTCCGGAGGGATATGGGTTACTGGTTAAGCAGTGTTGGTCGGCCAAACCACGTAACAGGCCTTCCTTTAAACTTATTGAGATGCATCTCGCTATCGCAGCTGTTGATGTACTTTCTACAGAGCCTGAAGATTATTTTAAGGCACAGGTAGGACTTAGTTTTCTCAACATAATGCATTTCAGAAATTTAAGCTTGAAAAAATTGTATGATATGATAAAATTCAATATCTATGCAAAGCGGGAAGACCAAGTCTTGTTGACATAAGAGGCAAATTGGCATTGCATTCCGTTTATGATAACGGAAAAGTTGCTGCAAAATATTTCTTTTACAGCATAGATACTTCTCCCTAAGTTTCATTTAAATCAAACAAGTATTACAATAGAAAAAGAAAAAAGTTTAATTCAAGAATAGATAAGTAAATTTTTTAGCATTTCATAATTTCGTATTAATGTCCTTGAGCTTGCGAAAATAATCTAAGCGATGTATTATTAGTTAAAAGAAAAGTGATTGCTAGTATACGATATTTTGAGTAACAATGGTAATTTGTTATAATAAAATGATTAAAATCGGACGTGCAGAGATGGGATGCGTTAGCTCATATCATAAGAAAAGGTTAGATTAATTTGTTGTATTGCATGTGTAAACATTTAATTATAATTTAATTCTAACAAAATGCTTTATATTTTTAATATTTCTATATTAAAATGAGGTAGAAAAAATAATTTACTTATTTTTCTGTAACAACATTTTGCTATTTTGATCATTATAAAATAACTTTGAAAGGTACAATTTTTATTAAAAAGTACGTATCTACTTTCTAATTTTGGTTTCTATTACTTTTCTATTATGTTTTTGTTAGTTTAATATAGAGTTTATTATTAGAGGTAATTTATACTATGATATGTACCAATTTGAGCACGAGCGTGGCGTATGAGACTGCTATGAGAGATCTCGGGTTTGATCTCAAGCAGATTTAAAGAATTTTTCACGCGCTCGTAGCTCCTCTTCGGTGGTCTGGTAAACCACCAAGAGTATCTATTGCTAAAAAAACTTCTTAAAAATTGCCGTTCGGAACTGACGTTAAAATTGTAGATTCCGTATGCTCGGTGTACGACCTGCGTGTGTAGCACAGATATATGTATGAGAGGTATCAGACAAACGGCGAAAGAACAAACTGAACAAAAAATGTGTGTGTGTGTGTGTGTGTGTGTGTGTATCAATTTACCTCACATATCGGGGCAAGTTAACTAAAATGCAGCATGTCCGTACATATTTATTTAATGCAAAAAAATATACAGTGTATAAAATCATTACTGGTATGAAAATATAGAGAAAGGTTCTCTCTATCATATTTTATTATAATAATTAATTGTTTAAAAAATCTAATGTCAAAATTGTAAAAACTACCGAACGAGACCCTACATGCAAAGATATTTTTTTATTTTATATTAAATTATTTAATTTATAAATATATGTATTTTTTAAATGCATTATCGTATTGCATTATTGCATAATAAATTTGTCTTAATTGTATATTATTTATAAACACATTGAAAAATTCTCACTTGTTCTTTTTTTTATTATATATGATAAAATTAATAACATTTAAATTTTAGTAACTTTAACGATTAATGAAATAAGTAACGAATTGTTTTCTGTGCCATCTCATCAAAAGATAATAACGGAATTTTTTTACAGCAATCTTGGAAGAAGGAAATACAGGAACACATGCAGCACATGCCACTATTTACTAATACCGATCCACGTTTCGAGGCTGAGCTAATCCGACGAAGAAAGGATGAATTACGACACGCTCAGGATGTCAGGGAACACTATGAGCGTAAACTCGAACGCACTAACAACTTATACTTGGAATTGAACGCTATTCTACTGCAATTAGAATTACGCGAGCGAGATGTGATAAAGTGAGAAAAATATCATTACATTTTAATATACACATAATTACAGAGTCGGAGACGTTTTCTATATATGTAATAATATTCATAATAATATCCACGCTGATATATTTTGTACATAATGTATGTATATAGATAGATATTATACTCTTTGAATTTTTTTTAAATATAGACGACGCAGTATCGCTTTGCATAACCGCTTTGCGCTTACGAGACAGATAGCACAAGACTGCAACCAAAGTCGCACATTTGGAAATAAATGTCTGGTTTGTCTCAGGAGAGAACAATCAACAGGATACAAGCAGTACAAGAAACGTCTTGTCCGTCCTTTATTGAAGGCCCAGGAGAGACTGTATCGCAGACGGAGTGGCACTGTACAATTCTCTACTTCTTCGACGCCTACTACTCCTCCTTCGCCTACGGATTCACCACAGAGCCCCGTTAAAGCTACCATGTACACGCAACTGAATGAATCCAATCAGCCGGAAACTGTTTTAGCATCAAACAATAGTTTCAAACAACGTAAATACAGGCATCGTAGAGTCGGTTCAGGTTGTGGTGTGAGTTCCAGTCCTAGATCGAGTCCTCATCGTGAGAGAAAGGTGAAAATAAAATTAATTAAAATAAATACATAAATAATTAAAGAGATAATGTTAAAGATAATTTCAATTTTTGCTATTTGTCAAATCTGTTAATCTCTTATACTCTCACAATTAATTATTAATTCCTTAATTATAAAAATCAACCTTAAATCTAGCTGGATCTTAAATGCTTGATTTTTGTGTGAATTTATATATTACATATGTAGTCTCCAGAAACGCGCGCCGAAATGATTTTTCGGTTTTGAACGCTAACTCTAAACTATCGTAGTAATCACGACTTAAATTGACTAGCAATATAACAAATTTTTGATGCTCATTCGCATCTTCGAAACAATCTTAATAATATTTAATAACATATTAAAATCTGTAAATAATTAATTCTTATTGCGAAAAATATTACCTCGGCCGAGAGTCGAACTCGGATCTCTTGATCTTGTCTAAAGGCTTAGGACGCTCGTACGGAATGCAAGAGATTCGACTCCTAGCCGAGGTAATATTTTTCGCAATAAGAATTTATTATTTACAGATTTTAATATGTCAACATTATTAAGATTTCGAAGATGCGAATGAAAAATTTGTTAAATTACTAGTCAATTTAACTCGTGATATTACTGCGATAGTAGAATTAGCGTTTCAAGATCGAAAAATCATTTCGGCGCGCGTTTCTGGAGAATACATACGTAATACATAAATTCACACAAAAATCATACAATCATTTAAGATCCACTGGACCGTTTAAAGCTTTGATTTCTATAGTTTGTGTTATCACGCACACACATATACGATCCTATAATATATTATATTGTTTAATTCCTTAAATTTAAATTTTTAATGAAAGTGTATACTTTGTATTTAAAAGTGTATACATCTTTTGTTAGAAAATTGAGATCTAATTTCGTGATGAATTAGTTTACATTACGTATCTTAAAATATGTTTTTAATTTCTCAAATTTTTAATGTATGTTATATACGATTAATAATATATGATTTACAATATTTATAGAGTGTAGAGGTACCTGCCAGATTCATTGATAGCCACACACAAACGGACATCCTGGATATCAGTGAAACGGATCACATCTCGATAGCGAATGTAGCGCTTTCTTTACCAGAAAAATCCTCTTTGGATCTCGTCAGAAGACATTCATTGAATAAGCAAATGACAGAATGTTTAAATGGGAATCCAATTTTGCCGGAAACGCACTATCCGATGCAAACTAGTTCATGTTCCAGTCCTGAGCACTTAAATGAAAATAACGCTAATGGAAACGAACGTTTGAAGGATTGTAGCGACGACGACAATCTTGAAACTCTCGGCAGAAAAGTCAGCGAAATTATCAATGCGAATCGTCTTATCATTGACAATGGAAATGGCGATGATGTCATAATCTCCCATAGGTATGGCGTAATAATATCCGTGAACACATATCTTATTTCTATTGTAAAATTTGTTAATTCTTAAGTACATAGTAAATCGATGGTATTTATATCAACTAGTGATAATATAACATTAAAGAACATTATGACTTATACTTAAGTCTAAAACAAATGTAAAAACGTTGAAAATGTACTTTATTTGATGTATTTATTTATAATTATTTAAGCTAGATTTTTATTAGTTATTATTCTATCTGCCATTAAGCAGAAATAATTTTTGAAACCAGACTATTTCAATATTGTATAAAATGCATTATGTCATTTAAGGATTAACATTGATAAATATAATTCAATATTCATTAAATTAATTGAACTTTACAGTAGGAATAAAGAAGATTCGGGCAAATTATCCGGGCATTATGTAGAACAATCCGATATTAAAATACGAACTTCTTCGGATAATACGGATGATCGCGAAGACGATGCTTGTGAAGAAAGCTGGTCAGATGAAGAGGGAGAAGATCCAAGCTATACTTATAATTATTCCTTAAGACGAAGAAGGTATTCTAATCAATAATGAATACAATATTTTTCCACAAGTATTTTATATTTTATATATTAAAAGATAGCTATATTAAAAGATTCAATGTAATAATAGTTTAATTCGTACTTTTTAAAAGTTAATTTTTGAACATTTTATATTTGAAAAAATTCATTTAAATAAGAACTTATGTATATATCAAATAATATCTTGTCAACTTCTTGGAAAAAAATTAGATCTTTTCTTTTTATATAAATTTTTGTAAAAAAATTTTCGATTTTGTTTATTTTTTAACAGCTATTTAAATTTTTACGTTTAATAATAAGAAATCGTCTTGAAATATATTCCCTTGAATATATTATATAGTATCGCAAGGAGGCCAATCGGTCCCGGATGCAGATTACGAAGGTCAAAACTAATAACACCCGGGAGAATACAGGGGGCATTAGCTTCTGATGAAGAAAATACTTCTGAATATTCGCATCCTCCGTCCAGTCAGACTTCCACCTTAGAAAGTAATCCGGATGTTCAAAGAGTTCTTCGTAATATACATCATTCCCAAAAAGTAAGTAAAATAATTAAGCAAAATGAATAATATTTAATTAATAATAAGAGAAAAATATAAAGAAATTTATTACATTATTATGCATTGTTACAAACAAATTACCACATGCGAAAAATAATACATCAATTTTGCAGAAAATAAAGTATATTTGCATATAAATATTAATGTATATGATAGTACGAGAATAGAACATTGGCAGATTGATATATTATAATATTTAAAAAAATATAAGTGAACATGTCAAGTAGTTTTAAAGTAAATTTTTTACAATTTTTTTTTAACATTTTAGTTTTTCGCGGATGGTAATAAAATTTTACAAATATATTTTATATAATACAAAACTAAAATAAAAAAACATATACATTTAATTTAAATATAGAGAAAGGAAATAGACGACGTTTCTGACACATCGAGTCAATCGGAAACGGATGAAGTCAGTGAAATTACAATTGCATCTCAACCGGCAAATGGATCCATGAAGATGGAAAGCCGAATATAGATTAGTTATTAGTATAATTTTTATATCTGATTTATGATCGGTTTATAAATTAGAGTTACTGCCTGAGTGAAATTCAATAATCACATCATCTTTCATTCTGTAACTTATGTTGCATATTGTAGATATCTATTCATATATGTGTATACACACACACACACACACACACACACACACACACATCTATATCCTGACATACATATATATATACATATATATATACTTGCATTCACATAATCATCTTCATATAAAACATGTATACATACATATATTAAAAAGTATATAATATTATTTAGGAAACAAATGATTCACAAGCAAATAATTCGAGAATTTGAGACTATATCCTTGATTGATTATTAAATTCAAATAGTTTTCTTAATCAAATGCAAAAAGCATTCTTAATCAATGTTTGATCAGTTGCCAAGATACATAAATTGCTACAAAATCAGTTTAATATTGCTCAAGTTTATTTGAGTTATATACAAAATTTTTCAGCATATACAACATGAGTGTAAATGTAGTGCTCATTCAACAAATCTAGATACTGCTTCGAAGGATATTATTTCCTGTGTAATTACATTAGTATGATTCGAAATCGCTACATCGGGATTTTTATGCTTAACACTCATTAAATTTATTATAATATTTGTCATTATGTAAATTATAAGCTGTATCCGGTATACTCTGCAGATACAAAAAAATCATGTATTTAATTCTTCCATGATATCTAATATTTAGCATTCATAATTCTTTTTCTGAATATGTACTCTAAGTCACAAATTTAATTTCAAATTCAAACTGTGCATACCCATTGCCATAGAAATAAGTTTTGAAAAATCCAGGCAGTCAACAACTCTTTAAATTCATATATTTCCCTGCTTATGTATGTGTTTATGTTTGACGAAATGGAAAGGCAGCTGTAAATAGTAAGATGCCTTCATAGTTATGAAAGCATCTAGTTGATGATATTATGTACATGCACAGTTTAAATGCATTCTCTTAAAGAAAAGGAATTTAGTGAACCTCTCGAAACAGAATAAAATGTACAACGTAATGATAACAAATTTTATTATGACATAAGTGCCTATGGCAATTTGCATGCATCGACGATGTCGAAATGTCTAGTGAAAGTTAGAGAATTGATAATAATACGCAATTTAGTCTTTGAAGCATGTATTGAAAGATGTTGTACCTGTATGATCTTTTATATTTGCAATATATTATGGATACGAAGATGTTAGGCAAAAATCGAAAAGTAAGGAAAAATACAAAAATGCGAAACTTCCTTCCTCGGAAGTTATATTTACAATAGGAGAGTACATATTGTGCTATCGTATGTATTTTCCAAAACATATGCTCATACGTAAGAAACTTAATTCTTTTTTTTTACTTCACAGCCAACAAGAGTCAGAGAGCGTAAGTCTACAATGACTATGTACTTATTAATTTCAGCCTAAGCATTTAATGTATAGTTTAAGAAGTGAGTTGTATTGCGCGAAATAGTTAAATAGTGGTGCAGGTTACGCGAGTTTCAAAACGAAGCTCAACAATAGCACTGGACTGCACGCGAACCTCATACTCATTCCGCGAACTACTGGTACTAATAATTATTGTAAGTTCTATCTCTCTGTTCCATACGCATGTGTCTACGAACTATTTCGTTTACTCGATTACAGGAAAGAAATGATGTTTTGCATCCATCTATTGTACCTGCTTTGAAACTCAAATTGCCTTAATGACAATTATATACATCTGTATCTGTAAATATAGACAATACAACGGGAACTTAGCGAATAAGCATAAAAGTAGAATAATAATTTTGATGTGCTCATCTGAACGAAATAATTTACGAGGCATATTACAAATAGAGAGAGATGTACTTTGTAGTAATCATACGTATTGTATCCATCATACTTATGCGAGTAGTTGCATAAATTGTTCCTTTTTGTGCAGTGGCAGCTAAAAAACTGACTAGTTCTATTATTATATAATAATAGAAGCAGTACACAAAATTTGTGTTATAAAATAAAGTTGATTTATACAACATTTTACATTTCATTCTTTGTACAAATCCAACATATGTAATGTATGCGTCGCATATAAAGATTATGTGAACAGCAGAAACATAACAATTTAAAAAGAAGAATATCTTAAATATACCAGTTTCGAATAGTTTTTCAATGATTCTATACGATTGCTTTAATTTTAAAATAAATCATGGTATTGACACACGCGCACACACACACACGCGCACACGCACACACACACACACACACACACACCATATATATGCTATTCCGACAATTGAACTTTAAAGAATCACTTATTTATTTTACAAAGAAAAATTCATAAATACGTCATCTAAATAAACTTATAAACAATCATCGAAATAATTGAAAAAATTAAGTTTTCGAATTCTTTTATTTTATTATTTGATTGCAAAAGCTGCTGAGCTGCATTATGGCTTGAATATAATATCACATATATTTAATATCTATATCTAATCCATCATTTTACACATTAGAAGCTTTTATAATGAAATCTCATTTAAATAAATAAAATTTCATAATTTAGTTAAATGTTAGATCTTTAGTGCACATGCAGCACACATTGGAATTTATTTATTTACATATTATCATATTAGAATTCGATTAGAAGTCTCTGAGATCGTAATAAAAGATCCGAGTGTGTATAATTGATTTATATGTGCTATATCATTAAATAGAATATGCACAATTGTCAAAATACGAAAAATAAAGTTATTTTGTATATAAATAAAATATCTTTTCTTTTTATAAATACAGACTTAAAAGTCTGTACATATTAATTTTCAAGACAGATGAAGAGAGTATAAAGTATTATTTATTATAAATCGTAAAAATCAATTTCGATTTTTACGATTTATAATAAATAATAATGATTTCCCTTTAGTCATTGTTAATTACGAATATCTTGATAGAAGTGTAAAAAATTCTTAAATAATTACAATTAATTGATAGCTAAAACATATTTCATAAGTCTTTTTTCTTGTTATACATCTATTGAGGTAATGTATCCTATTCACATAAATTGTTTTCACCCCTTCCTTGAGAAGAGACAGATAAACCATAATTAATTTCAAATAAATAAAACTGTAATTACAACAATCTTTTTTATAGTTAGAAATTCTACCAATAGAATGAACTACTTAAAAACTCTGTGGTAGATTTATATAAAGATGAAGCGCTTTGCTTTAAACCAGTAAATAATGACACAACTCCCTCCTTATCATCTTCTTCTTCCTCCTCGGGCAAGTAATCAGGCAATCCTTCGCTGTCAGTATCGCCTACTTGTATCTGAAAAAGATTCATCATATTCAATGAAACATCATGTTCAACTTTTTAGAAACAAAAATTGAAATATATAAACACACTCTATCATAAAAAACACATCACAATAATAGCTGTAATAATAATTCTTACCAACGTTACAAGAAACTCTTGATTAAATTTGTTTTTCATAACCAATCTTGCTTCCATATTGTCCGTATGTTTATCGATCGCTTCCGCAATCTGTTTAGCGGTGACATAATTCAAAGTGCGCATAGTTACACGTTGATGCTCTACATCAACAACAAGCGAAATAAGACCTTCAATTCTTATTAATATCCCTTCCAACTCGGCTCGGGTTTCCTAATTATTTTGATTATTTTGATTATTATATTCTCCAATGTATAGCTATTTTTATAATTATGTTCTCACATATGATATTAATAAATAGATGCATATTCTTGAGAGGCTTCCACAGGTGCTTTCTATATAAAGATTATGCGTTTCGTTCTGTGTCCAGATCCATTCTTGGAATGCCAACATTTCGTGAACCTTGCAATCCACTTCATGATATTATCAGGCTCCTCGCCTCGATGAAGTGAACTGCAAGGTTCACGAAACGTTGGCATTCCAAGAATGGATCTGGATACGAAAAAAACTCGCGAAACGCATAATCTTTATAAAATAGATACAATTAATACTATTACTTACTGGTAATAAACCCTGAACATGTAAAACTATTACATGTGTCTTCAACTTTTTGGGCTCTATAACTCGCCTGCAACGACTACGCAAATTATATATAGGCGGTTTCATACGCTCTATGTCATCTTTGACGTGCTGCGCTCGACCGGCTATCTTTGGTTCATTCAAGCTGTACTTGTTAATAATTCCCTCCAAGGATTCGCGCACACCAAAAGTAGACGTAATGTGTATATAATTGTCTACATTCTTAACAAATACCTCCAGAATGTCCAGAGCTAAATTAACCACATCTAAATCAGGTACTTCTAAAACGTACGCTATGTATGATAAGACTGTCTTATCCTGAAATAAATCAATCAATAATGTATTCAGTAAACAAAATCTTAATAGCAATTGATAGTAATGTTAGCAGTTTGCCAATAGATTTAAGGACAAGACATTATGACAGATTGACATAAAGCTATTCGATCAGCAAAACCTGTGTCAATCATATATAATTTGATTAGCAGATTATATCAGTCTCTGTTATTAATTTGTTATAATATACTATTACTAAAAATTTTGTCTATTCTATCTTCCTTAATTAAATGAAGAAGAGTAAGTTTTAATCTTTCTTTCTAATCTTCTAAATATTGGACTTAACAATAATGTTTAATGGTTAAAAATTTCTATATATATAAAGAGAACATAGTAGAATTAAAATAGAATTTAGTTGTATAAAAGATACATACAAAAATTTAGATTGGCAAATACTTTTGAGCAATAGTATATTTTGTTAATTGATTATCATTATGTATATATATATTTCCACTGGCATTCTGCTAGAAAAATTTATAAGACACTTATAAGATTTTCAATAGAATTGACTGTCTGGGATCTATCTTGCTTCATTTTCATGAATTGGAGTATTCACCTTCAGAATTGTGTCATGGTTCGCAAAATCGTCCGCGAGCTTCCTATACGTCTGGAGAGTCTCTTGCAGCTCCTGCGGGTCCACATCTACGACCTCGTCTACATCTATGTCTACGGAATCCTCTCCGTCCATCGTCCACAAATGTTACGTCGACATCAACACGTTTGAGACTCGTGCGCGGCTAAATTTGCTTTTTAATAACGAAGACAAACTATGAATCAGTTTCCAGCGGAAATTCTCATCCCCATCTCGTAGGAAAAATGACGAAATGATTTCACTACTTTCTCCGACGAGCGGTATTACGTCGCAACGGCGTCAATCTGATGTTCGTGTTCTAACCTTATCCGCAGAATCGTCGAGAAACCAACATATTGAAACGTACTCCGAACTCCGAATGGCGCGAATGAAAGGGAACTTTAGATTTTCACATTTAGCATTTAATTAAAATCAGCTGAGACATGTCCTCGCATGCGAGTCGCTGATATTAGTCAATATCGTGCTCTTATCTATTGAACCATCTGAATGTTCTTTTATATATGATATGGAGAAGGGATGAAGAAATTGGTCGTTCAGCTGACTACCATGAATCGTGGATAATCAATCTTGTGATTGTAATATTGTGATTATTTAGTTCAGCTGTTCAATTCCTGTTACATTTGTTTGCACGAAATATACGAACGCAGAATGTGATAGATAGGATCATGGTGAAAGGAAAGGCTAATAAATAAATTAAAAATGCAACATTAAATCATAAGCGTCGATATCGGAGTAAATATATGGGCGCGTAATATACATGTACATATTCCAGGCGTTCGTCTGTGTAATGCATATTGTATTTACATATTGCTAAACATTCGTGCATTATATATTGCATTAATTATAACAGTTTTATTTTGTTTTCCTTTCATAATTATTGTTGTCATAGTTTTGTTTTTTAAAATGCATTTCGATATCGGAGTCTGTGGGTGTATGATACATAATATCTACTCCGAGCGTGCGTATGTATATTGTTTCTCAAAATCAGATCTTATGTATAGGATCGTCTTAGGATATCGTGAACAGAGAGCTGTGTATTAGCATTTTAAGATTATTACAGCATATTGATTATTAGACATTATTTAAGACGGTCTTATTAAGATCTAAAATATTAAGAAAACTACTAATATATCGGTCAATAATCGTATATTACGTATTGCATTATAATTTTGTTACCAAATATTAAAAACATCTTATTATTAATGTTGTTTATCAATATCTTATATAATTATATCTTTATCTTACAATATTATCAATATTAAACATTTATTATAAAATAATATTATTAAAATTATGTTTTATTAAAGATAATTAATAGATATTATTAAAACTTTAATTGTGAGCGTAAATTTATTTTTAAAGGAAGATGGAAATATTGAGATAGATTATATTTAATATATGTATAATATAATATAAAATAAAACGATACTATAATATAAAGCATAAAAAATGATCATAAAAAATATATATTTAAATCTTTCTACTATTTCTGATATTACGATACAAATATTTATAATATATACCATCATCATGAAACGATGTAAAGTATAATAATAAATAAAGCTGTTTTGAAGCTACAATGCTTAAAATATTGATTTCGATTATTTCGTTTTTAATTACTATTCTCTAATTAAATAGATATTCTTTGGATATAATTATAAGAATTTAAAATTCATTAATTTTTGAAACTTCAAATTCTTGCAATTCGGAGTGGCTGATTTGATTCTATAATGGTCTTAATTTTATTCGTATTGATACAAATAATGAAAAAGAATTTGTATGTAAAAAATATAACTTTTTTGAAACTATAATGTACGACATATTGATATTTATCCAATTATGTTTGTTGATGTTTATCTAAGCTTTTGATTTTTGAAGCTTTAAATTTTTACAATTTAATTTCACCGATTTAAAATTCTAGAAATTTTTAAAAATGCTATATTCTTAATATCTTAATTAGTGTCCTCTTTTTGTGAATTATATTTTTCTAAAACGGTAGCGGTTTTCGCAAGTTCATTTTTCAAGGTTTAAACTTTCAAACCTTAAAATAGATCTCAAACATTTTTTAAATTCTAATTAATGCTATCTCTTTGCTGATTATATATTCTATCGATATTCAGTCGATTTACAAAAATGTAATTTCTCTCAGATCAATTACGACTTAATGTAGAAATACAGAAGAATATGTTTAAAAAGAAATTATGGGGTAAATATTATATATATATATAACTAGAATGAATTTTTAATTCATTGATAAAAATTATAGAAATTTAATTTAGAAGCAACATATTATTTAATTAGGATCTATTTTTAATTTCTTGTCTCGTTCTATTAGCCATATTAATACCAGCAGCAATATTGCTTTTTAACATCTAGGACCGGTTCTTGATTGGTTATCCACTGCGCATT